AATGAAATGGAATAATTCTTTTCACTCAATAGACTGTGTCAAAAAAAATGATCACTTTAGTGGGAGAGAAGTATGCCTGCTCCTTTCTGGTTGACTGGCATATCATTTCCTATTTAACCAAAAGAAATAGAGTGCAACTCATAATCCCATCAGGTTTTATCTTTTAGTAGTAAGGCAGTGACTGATATCTCAAGATCAACGTAAACTAGATGAGGATAACATACCAAAAAACCTAAAGAACGACAATGTGATATGCAGTAATGCCTATGAAAGCAGGAATCATGAGGCTTGGATACAAGTCCTTATGTGCTAGTAAAGGGATTGTCCTATGGCATCAAGGGCACAAGGGATTTGGTAACAATTGTGAAGCATGGTTTATCTTCAGGATAGTAATCGCAGGCAAATAAGCTTAGTGAGGCAATTCAGAGTGGGGTTTCCTGAGATCTCAATTCTTGTGGCTTGGATGACATTTTCACAGGCAATTAAGACCACTCCTAATGACATCCATTGGAACTTACGGCAGGTGATTGGGTCGGGTCTACACGGCGACCAGCTGAATCTAGGTCTGGAGTCTGGACCCTTAAAGTGGAATCCATAAGTCAGATCGAGATCCAGCCCGGAGAGTTGGCCTGACCCATATATAGTATACACATAGAAATATATATGTGCATCCGGCTTGAGGTCCTTCTGCCCGGATGGGTCTAGGTTGGGGTCAATCTGACTTGGAGCTGGCCAATTTATTAGCCCTATTGGTATTCCTTGACTTCATGTATATGTTTTGATGCTCATAAATCATAATGAGCATATCATGGCCAACTTGATCTCTGTAACATAGCCATTCAAAATTCCAAATTTGAAACAAATTAGATAGGGCTCATTCAGCCAATCCTAGCATCTAAGACAGTAACGAGTCTCATGACGTAATTAAGTGGAGTAACGGACAGACAATCAAAGGCTTAGATTTCCAATTCAGACTAGTGCAGTAACCCATGCAAAAAGACCAGCACATGAATGCAGCCAAAATTCACCACCATGTAAAACCAAAAATTGTGCTTTTGAGAATGGTGGTTTGCAAAAAAAAAACCCGAGTTCATTCTGTGTTCTGCCATGGCATTGCATCACGGACTCCTAGATGTTAATTAGCTCTCATACAAAATGATAACACGTACAAACATGATAACCAAATCTTCATATATAGTGCCTGTCAATATATATATAAAGGACTATTGTACAATATTCAAGAGGAGTCTTTGATCCAAAACAAGGATAGACTAGTAAAGTTTAACATTTAAGAGTCTCATAATTATTCAAGTTCTGTAAACCTCAAACTACGAGTATGGCACTCGCTCCAAACCTCCAGCACTCTATGCAAACATCCTACGCAAAGTTGCCACATCCTGCTTCCATAGACACGAGCATTCTGCAAAATTAAGGGAAAATATAAAATACTAGGCGTCAAATAGAACTATCAACATTGTATAACTTCTAAATGAACATAATGATGAACAATTTCATAAACTGACACTGGTACTAGACATTCAAAACTGCAATACTCCCTTAGACACCTTGTCTCTGCCTTTCCAAGAAAACACGCAAAACCATTATACAAGTTAAAATTTCTGGTTTTCTTTTCTTTGAGGTTCAGACAAGATTCTCTTTGGTTCATGCTTTCTATGAGGATCGATGCCTGAATTATTTGAAGTATGATGTTATTTTTTCATCTTTCCCGATTTATCACATTCATTAAAAAGACAACCTAGATCTTCCCCTAAACTGGCTCAAGCATCAAAACATGTTTATGGCCTAACCACATCGAAGAGGGCTGTGTAGTGAAGTTGACAATGCTGTGTTATCAAACTCCCAATTTTCATAATTCTCCTAAAATGTGCATAACAAAATACTAGCACATTAGGGATCCCCGTAAAAACAAGGTATCCTAAATAAAAAGAACATTGATAGATCAATACTCATAAAGAAAGAACAGTGATAGCTTTGCATTACCAATGGACCGTTCTACTTGTGGTCTACAGTACTAAGTCCATTTACCCTCAACTTCATTTGAAAGGAGCATTGGGGATTCTTGACTGCTGACCTCGATAGTAATGAGCAGCCCATCTTTTCGGGTAACCATAAGCACATTGCTTGCCCTTCAAAATGCGTGCCACCCTTAGAGGGGACCTTTTTTGGACCAATGGGGTCCTGTGATGCCAATCAGGCAGAGGTTCAAAGGCTCTTAAGTGGCTTTTACTATTTCTATTTGAGTTTTCCTTCACAATTAAAGTGGGACACAGCGGTCAAATAGGCTCATGCTGTGGTCAACCTTTTTTGTCATTAACCAAAAGGGCATTGGCCAATGTCCTTTAAACACTTGTGTCATGGACCCAGCGAATCAGTAGATTTTTTGGCTAAGAAAAAGGGATATCCAGACCCTCACCAGGAACACATTTCATCTCATTCCTAGGGTCTCTTTGTTAGTGCCTCTTCAAGGGATTTATTTCTTGCAAATGCAGTACACTTGCACATTTACAGATTCAACAATCAAACAAAGTTAAGAATCCAAACAGAACAACACTTAATCTAAATTACGAATTCCATCAACTTTAGAACACAGTTTGAATAAAATGTAAACGGTGATAACGCCAAATGTCAACAAAGTAATTTGAAACAAGTTATGTAAGGGTTAAATCATTCCTTCCTCTACTGCCTCAAATAAGATTTTTCATACAAGAGTTATCTTACGAGCCCATACTGTGAAGTGAGGAATCAGAAATGCAACTGGTAAAGTAACAGAAATTTATTTTAGATGATTTTATCAAAATTTTACTATACTCATGTACAAAGAACCATGAAATTCCCTGTGGTACTATTATAATCCATTCAACACTAAGAACAAATTATTTTCATTTGGTTTCTCCTGGTGAGTACTTGCAACTTTTCTTTAGCAATCATAGTGTTGCCTCTAAAGCAATTGAATCATCACATAATCAATTTGGGAACATGTCCAAATCTGCCCAAAAAATGTAGAGAAGTGTCACATTCACCTCATAACAAAGATCCATAAGATACACAATAAAACTTAACCAACACAGAAGTGGATCTCAATTGAATCTGCTAAGTTACATGGTTATAGGAAAACAATCCACATCCCTTGGGACATCCATTTCATGGCTATAAATCAGGCAGAGGTTACTTGAATATTCAAGTAAAAATAAACCAAAAGCTTTGTTTAAGGTTAGGAGAAAACCTATTTAATCATTGCTAAATCTTGCAAGAGTTTTAGTGGATTATAGAGATGCACTCACAATAATGATGTGAACTATGCATAGTTAATAGTAGGCAGAAAAAACAACAATAAGGACCAAGGAAAAGGGAAGCAAAAAACACTGGGAACGGAAGATGCATGGAACTTCTAAATGTGCTAAGATCAGCAGGACCAATTGCTCAAATGCCCAGAAATAGAAAATCTCAAACCAAAATCCAATTGCCATGAACAAATAACAATGTCAATGAATCCATGAGTATAAATTCTCAATATGGCTACATAGTTTTCAATCCAGATCATCAAAGAGAGAATTCATGAAAGAAATGGATGCTTCAAAGGATCCTCAATCCCTTTGGCCAAGAGTAGATTAAAATCAATTCTTCTCATCTCCCATCCGCTGCATCAGCAAACACTGCATTGGCTATCTATAAAGATATTGCAAGCATCTATAGATCCAACCCAAATAAATTTTGAACTCCACATAATTATCTAAAAATTGCAGTGTTCAAAAAACGCCAGGCAGCCCCTAGGAAGCCAAAGAGGTCTAGGCTGCCCAGCGCATATGCAGGCGCTTACGGATCTAGGAGGCTTGGGTTCAAAACAAGGCAACGGGTGTCCACAATCAGGTCTTAGGTCCAGATTTTGTATAAAAGATGCATGAATAAAAAATGTATATTCATGCATTTGTTATAATTCAAACAAAAAACACCAAAAAATGCCCCACCTGATGGGTATTTTTGCACCTATATGGGTTCAGTCTCTGGGCGCTTGCCTAGGCAGGCACCCGGGGACAGTCCTAGGCAAGCGCCTAGGGACTGCACCACCCTAGTTGGTCCGCCCAGGCTACCACTAGTCTGTCTAGGCGCTAGGCGGACTGCTTTTTGAAACTACACTAAAAACTAGAAAAAGACTGGTGGAAAGCATAATTTTTTAACACTTTACCCTCCTTCCAAAACTCAAAAGACATAACCAAAACATTGTCATCCAAAAAAAAGAAGTCCTCAAAACTATAAAGTAAACCAAATGAACATAATTTCAAAACCATAAAGTAAACCACATGAACGAAATTGTCAACATTGGAAAATAAAAATGTCCCAAACCAAAAAGTAAATCTCGTAAGCAAAAATTGTGACATACCCTTGTCATATAGCATACTAACTTATAATCAATTCAAACAATTATGGACCCAAAACAAGAAAATAAATAAAGAAATTCCTTTTGAAAATAAAGAACGCATTTTTTTAAAGTAAGATTATGTAGAATGCCAAAGATCTTTCAACATTAGAAAACTTGTCACAGAAATACAGTGCATTATACAATAACTATAGTTGAGATAAAAATTAATACACAGAATTCATCTGCAAAGATATTTTAACATAGAAAAATAAGAAAGCCAGGGAACACATAGTAAATAATAGGAATTACTATGATAAAGCAATTTGAATTTCTCATACATAAATATCTTTCAATATGATTCGCATGATACAGAAGAAGACCCACGTCGAGATGAGAAAAGAAAGAAAGAGGCCCAAATCTAGATGATCGTAATGGGAATCAGCCGCAAAAGAGGGCCCCCTTCTTATGAATGAACAATATAAATGATAGGATGCGAACCTTAATTAGAGTGAGAGAGAGAGAGATGGAAAACAATCAAAGCCCTAGAATAGAGAGAAAGGGGGAAGATGGGAACCAATCAAAAACCCTAGAACGAAGATACCCATGATGAAATGACAGTCTGATTCCCAAATATAAATGTATCAAATGAAAAATAAGAATTAGAGAGAGGATGAGTCACATATATTGTTTACTTATTGGGATTGGGATTGTAAAAGGAAAGAAAAAGACAATCAGAGACAGGGGTGATCCATACCCCACCCAATGATCATAGAGAGAGAAAGGTGAGATATTTACCTAGTGTGAATGGGAGTGAGAAGAAGAGGAAGAAGAAGAAGAAGAGGAGAAGCGATTGTAGGCAGCTTCACCAACACAGTAAATGGTGAAGGCGACAATGGCAATGCCGAGGCCAGGTGTCGCATGGCGCAGCTGGTTGCCGAGCATGGGATGCTTCCTCCACTCATCTCTCCTCCTGAAAAACTCTCCCGTGCTCCCTAATGGCTTCCCCATTTTCTCTCTCTAGCCCCCTTTCTCTCTCTAACCCGCTCTCCCCGTAATACCAATCTCTCTTTACTGCTCACCGCCTTGGGATAGTCGCGAAATAATTGATGGGAGCGGAACCCCGACTCTTGGAGCGGCTGCCAACGTGTCGGATCGGTGACTCGGACCCAAAACGTATGATCGGGCTCGAATTCATGGCACCTGGACTAGGTCCAGGCACGATCCAAAAATTAAAATATTTATATATTTAATTATATCTAATTAATTTCATATGTTGAGACTTGAAAAATATTATTGGACCCAGTCCCGACTGAACCCGATTGAACTTGAACCCAAACCCAACTAGTGCTCGGGTCCAAGATTTGGACACAGACATTTTTTTTGACCTAGATCCAAATCGGGTCTACCTCTCATTTCTCGAGTGGAGTCCGGTTCCATTTTTGCCCGTAGCAAATTGACACATACAGGCCCTAGGTTTGGCCCAAATCAGACTGGGTCAAAGGTAGCCTAAGCCCAACCCAGGCCCTTTATCCAAAGTGCTCTTAGATCATTTATTTTGATACAAAGATAATCATGATCTTGTGAAATGTGATATCAAGCGGCTTGAAGTATACAAAAAACTCTTTTGGACTTTGAGCATTGTAAATAATAGACCTTTGGGAGCATGGCTTTATTTCTAATGGCTAGGGTAATTGTGATATTTTGGAATAAGGATAGACAATCAATATATAATATATGGGAAAAGTTTATGTGCTTATTCTACAGTATAGAAGTTCTATTTTCTCTTTACCATCCGGCTGTTCAATTTTTATCAAGAGAGTCACTCACTGTTTGATTTTAGATCCGACGTCTCAAAGTATTTATTTTTAATTTTTTTTTATATAAAATATATGAATATGAAACTTTCAGGGGTATTTTGGTTATTTTATTTTATTGAAAATATGTTTTTATATTTTTTACTAATGCGAATTTAATAAATGAATAGATGTCCAAAATTTGGTATCAAAATTTTTAAAAATAAAATAATGTAGAGATGTGACATTGTGATTGGATTAATCTTAACCCTGGACGGTTGGATACGGGAGAAAATAGAACTCCCATGTTGTAGAGGCAGCATAAAAAAACTTATATGTTATATTGATCCTCACTTTAAGTATGAAGCTCGACATCTATTATTTTATGCATAAATATTGAAATTTTTTTTTGATGAGTCACAAAGTCTTACCCGTGTATTCACCCCAAGTATTCAAGGATTTTACGACCTCAAAGTCGTCATATATTACTATAAATCTCAGGTCAATGAATTCAAAGTCTCAAATAGTGAGGAAAGGTTTCCATACTTCCTCCGGTGTATAAAAGATATATAGTTCTCATCATCCAGCCGTTCAATTTAAATCAAGTAAGTCATTGACTGATTGATCTAGATTTGACATCTTAAAATATTTTATTTTTAAATTTTTTTTACAAATTGTATGAATATGAAATTTGATATGTGTCATCATCTTAATGGGATGTACCAAATTTTAGAGAGAGTAGTTATCTCAAATTTTAAGTTTTAAATGAGTGAAAGTATATTAAAATTTTAAAGAGATAAACTATATTAAATTTTAGAGAGAAAAACTACCTGGAAAATTTTAGAGAGAGCAACCATCTCAAAAATTTTAGAAACATAAACTATATCAAAGTTTTTAGAGAGAATGTATCTCAAACTTTTAGAGAAAGAAACAATTTTAAAATTTATAGAAAGAGAAATTATTTCAAAAATTATGTTTTAGAGAGAGAAACCATCTCAAAAATTTAGAGAGAGAAACTATATCAAATTTAAATTTTGGAGAGACAAACTATTTGAACAATTTTAAAAAGAGAAACTATCTCAAAATTACAAGTTTGTTGCATTCTCTTTCTCTGGCTGTTTTTAACTATGTTTACCCTGCTTGAGTAATTTTTCCCTATAAATTTTTTGCATTTGTAAATATTTTTTTATCAAACTTTCATTCGTACCAAACGACCCCTAAGAGAACAAGTTCTTTTGCTCTCCACAATAGGTGCCCTGCGATGTCCAATCAAAGTTAAGGGTGTTTGGCGGATCGAGTTATTTATGTACGGGCACTAAAAAATAATAATACATAAAGCTCTATATTTTTGCAAATATTACACGGAAGGTCGGTTAACTCGTGACTTTTTATTTTTCAATTTGCCCTTCAATCCGATGTTAAAAATATCGGTCTAGTTTTAATTTTTAATTTTCTTGACTTCTAGGCTAGTTCAATATCGTGAGCCTCGGACAACTTAGTCCAGTGAATCGTCCGAGGACCAAGACCTTGGACCACTTTACTATGGCAATAAGTTATTGGCCTAAGGTCTTGAACTTCAGACTGCTTAAACTTTTTTGGTCTGATATTCGGTGCATCAAATCAGCCACAGCCTCAAAAAAAATAAAAAATAAAAAATAAATTTAAACCGGTCCGATGTTGGTAACATCAAACCAAAAGGCAATATGAAAAAAATAAAAAGGTCGCAAGTCAACCAACCTTCCGCATAGTATTTATGAAAAGATGGAGCTTTTTGTATTTTTCCATTTTGTTGTTGTGTTTGTACGTAAATAACTCTTATTGGATCCGGTTCGCCAGTTATGGAAAGTGAATTAGGTCAGTTGACTATCGACTTCACTGGATACAAACCAGACCTTGAAATTAGACTCTACATATTGAATCTAGGCTAGCACTTACTCCAAATAATCGGGATAAGCCTCATATGATGATGAAGATGATGATGATGTTAAATCTGGGCCAGCAAATCTAGAACTTACTTGAATCCAATTCCAAGTCCAGGTCCATCTTGGACCTAACCAAGCTAGTCCGGTCCACTTGAGTCCAGCCCCTTATTAGGATCAGGATGTTTGGGTCCGAGTGATTAGGTTCGAACCAATTCGAACGTGACCTTTTTACAGCCCTATTTAGAGTCGTAATCTCTTTTAACGTGCCAACATGTGAAAGTGCAATAAAATCGTAATATTTGGGATCTTATTCCAAAGGAGCAAAGAGCATCCTCAATGTCGTTGCATGAAGAAACTAAAAAAAGTGGATTACTCTTTTTAAGGATTGAAAGATGCGATAGAACAGTAAATAGTCAATGGCAAAGGATTCTCTTGGATGATGTCTAAGGGCGGCAATGGGCTAGGTTTGCGCTGGGCTAGACTTAGCCCAAGCTTGCCCCTTGTCTCCATAGCATCAGCCCAAGCGTGGCACTGGCCTAGCCCAGCCAAACCGGGCTCGCACTGGGTCAGGCCATAGTTTATAGCCCAGGCCCTGCTTTCTTAGGGGCAAGCGGCCTAGCCATAATTGATGTCTTTTGCTCTCTTAGATGTTTTTTTTTTCTTTATTGATTTTCCCTCTCTAAAGTTCATGCAATAGTGGATGTTATAAAATAATGCGCATCCATTGAGATTATTGGTGCCTAAATAGAATAAGTTTACATGCTCCCTTGGGACCATATTGTCCACTTACTCCCTTTGGTGGAGTCGTAAGAGTACTTTTAGATTTTCTAGTAACCAACCTAAAATAAAAATCACACTACATGCTTAATTGAAACAATGAATGGAGATTATCCAATTTTTAAACTATCAAATCTAACTAAGATCTTAAGTGTTGAAGAACTCATAATCCAATTTTTTCTTTGTTTTACTTATTTGGTGATTTGAAGTGGATTCTAGATAGGGAAGTTTCTCATAATTGGCTCTTTCCTCGAAGGACTATGTGTATAGTGTACTACTGCGGGTGTACACTACACGAGCTCCTTATCTAAACACATTAGTGGTCCATTCACTCATCCTCGAATCAAATACTCCAGTCTTATCACGTCTTTCTATTTTAATAAGGTTTTATATGTCAATAATTAATAAACTCATCCTTAAGAGTAAGAATTAAAGTGTGTTTGTACAAGTACGAAAGCTTGTACAAGTGTGAAAGCACTAATTCTAGTGAGAAAGTTAGGTCCATGCCAGTCCTACGCAACACTTAATTGGCTTCTCTCTGGCTTGATGAATAATCAAAATGTTTGCTCAAGGCTAATCATGTACATAACCTATCATTGAGATCTAGACCGTCGATCTTTGCCAAGCCATCTTCCTTTCCAATCCAGGTTGTCCATATGTCCACTTTAAGGAATAGATGGTCCATAACCCTACATAAGATGTGGGCAACCTTGGAGCATGCACTCCATGAATACTCCATACATATACATAGGCATATAGGCCAGGACAAGTCCATACATGTCAAAAGAAAAAAGAAGTGATTCAAGCACCCCAAAAACTAGCCTGGATCGGTGAATTGACGGTCTGGATCACCATTTTACTATGCAAAAAAAAAACAATGAACCGGTGAAAAAACATATGAAAAAATAGTGAGCTGGCTAAAAACCAGTCCGGATCAGTGAATTGATAGTCCGAATCACTATTTTATTGTAGAGAATAGACGTTTTACTATGCCAAACCGCTAGTTCCCTTTGAAACTCAGTCGTTTTCCTATATATATATATATATATATATATATAGGAAAAAGCTGGGATTAGCCCATTAGTTCATATGAACATATAAGCCGAACGATCCAGATTGAATCTGGGCCGATCTAACGATCACGGATGTCTAATAGTTTTTAAATTTTATTTTTTTCCTACAAATCTAAATCATTTGAAAATTTAGGCGTGTATTTAACAAAAATAGGTGAATCTTCAAAAAATATCAAAAAAATATTTTACATGAAATAAATTGACTAAAATATCTTCGAAAAGTTTTGGAGGGTATTTTGATCATTTTTTTCACGAATAATTTTTTTTATATTTTTATTAGGTGCACCTTGATGAGAAGAACACAAATTTAAAATTTTAAGTGATTTGAATTTATAGAAAAATAAATAAAGTTTAAGCACTACCGGACATCCGTGATCGTCAGATCGGTCCAGATTCAATCTGAACCATTGGGTTCATATGAGCTAGTGGGCTAATCCCAGCTTTGTCCATATATATATATAAAGAACTGGAATAGGGTGATTGATTTTCTAGTCAGACCAGACGATTCCGTGTTGACGAGGCATTTTTTAAATCACTAGAAAAAAGTGAAAAAAAAGCGAGAAGGGGGGTGTCCATATTGCAGCAAGAATTGAAGAGCTCCATATCACAAAAGATTAGGATCTCGTGCCGGCGCATGTTGAACATTCACTCCCTAGGGTTGATCCTTGTGGGGGATTTTTTTAGGACTCCAAATTTTGGGGACCGCAACATCTTCAACATAGCAACAATCGTAATAATAATATAAAAAATCACATGCCTTCCATATGTGCCTTAAAAAATAATGTCATGTGACTAAAGGGAAAGGTTTTTATGTTTTTCCTACAACATAAAAATTCTATCCTCTCTCTACCATCCAGCCTTCCAATTTCGATCAAGAGAGTCACTCACCGTTTGATCTTAGATCCGACGTCTCAAAGTATTTTATTTTTAGTTTGTTTTATACATATTGTATGAATATAAAATTTGGTACGTGCCATCTTCTCATTGGGATGCACCTATAAAAAATATTAAAAATAATTTTTCGATAAAATATAATGACCAAAATACCTCTTGAATTTTTCAAAGATATTTTGGTCATTTTATTTATTGAAAATATTTTTTTTATATTTTTTCCCTAGTGCGAGTTTAATAGAGGAATGGATGTCTAAAATTTAATGTCAAAATAGTTTATAGAAAAAAAAAGAGTAAAGATAAAATAGTGTAGAGACGTGACATTGTGATTGGGGCAATCTTAAGCCTCCATTCAGAATGGACGATATGGGAGATACGTGACATTGTGATTGAGGCAATCTTAACCCTCCATTCAGAATGGACAATATGGCGGATAATATAACTTCTATGCTGTATGGGAAGCATAGAAAGCTGGCCCTTGCCCATGACTAAATAGAGTCCCTGACAGTTAGATCTAACTATTTAGGAACTAAAAATCCCTTCTTCTTCTTTTTTTCTTTTTTGTTTTTAACGCTCACTTGGGTGATGTATAGTGGATCTAAAAAATTAATATGAACAAAACATTATAAAACGGGTCTTAATCCGAGGGAGTAAGTGTACAGTGAGTTCCCATAAGAGAAAACCACAAACTCTCATTCCATATTGTTTTGTGGTTTACAGCTAAGATACACTATTGAATGCCTCTAATGAGATGGATGAAAGATACATCCATACATATATGACATATGTATGCATTTCTATCCCTTATGAGGGACCAAATAAGGTGAAAGTTGATAAAAACAAGCCAAGATAACAAGATAAATTCCCAAATAAGCCTCACACCACCCATTGCAAATAAGTAGTGGCTACCACACACAACCCAATCACACTCTCTTAAATTGTCCAGGTTTTGGCTTGTTTCAAGTCACTCAGCCCTCCTCAACAGACATCATGTTTTTTAGTGCCCCCCCTTTCCTATTTTCCTCCATGTGAGGCATCCCCCCATGTAGAATTCAATCATTTTGGCTCTTCTTCCTTTCATAGTTGTTTTTGCAAAGAGAAGATGGCTCAAGAGATTCAAGAAGATTTTCAGCTTAATGAGATTGATGATGCCTTAGATGGCTGTGTGGAGAGTAGGTTGTCTATGTTCTCAAAGGAGTACAATTTGAGGAGGAATAAATGGGGGAGTGTCTCAAATGGTTGCCATGTTATAGATCCTAATGAAAGGTAAGAACACTCTAGAATTTAACTTGCTTGATTTTTCATTTTTTGGTAGTTCAGCCAGGATAAATAATAATAATAATAATAATAATAATAATAATAATAATAATAAGGTTATGTCATCTTGTTTATGCTGCAAAATTCAGGGGTTGAACCCCTTGACCTCCCTCACCTAAACTGATAATGTCTATCACTAAGCCGAAGCCGAAGGGGCACGCTTGATCTTATTCCTCAATCAAGCATTGCTAGCTTTTGTAGTTAGCTGAGCACAGTAGTGTTTTATATCTAATTAAGATATTTTATATGATCAAGCATTGCCAGCTTTTGTTGTTGGATGAGCATACTAGTATTTTATATCTAATTAAGATAGCATATAATTTAGTTGAGTAGTGTGCTATTAAATGTAATGAGATAAGATGCAACTTGAAATTTTAAGGCTTAAAAATAATTTTATCGCTGATTTGATGCATGATTCATGGGGTTGTTTATCATTTATAGGCATCATGACCTGATATTTATTTAAGAAACAAAAAAAAGACAGCCATAATCATTTGAATTTTGAAATAAGTTCATGTTTCTCTCGATTTATAGAATTTTTACACAATATTTAAGAAAAATGAGTAATATGCTATTTTTTGTGAAAAACAGAGAATTATAATCAATATATACATGGTTACATGCTTGTTATCATGATTAAAAATCGTTTCTTCTTTATTTCATAGTTTTTATCCCCCGCCAGTTTGGCCTTTCGAAAACCAGACTCTAGTATATTATAACAAAATAATTTGCCAAGTTTTTTTAAAATTGTAACTTTAAGTTCATTTATTTTAAATATAAAATTATTTTCTTGGTTCCTTTGGTTTATGATTTCTTTTTTTTTTGTCTTCCCTATTTAGAAAATATTTTGTCCCATATTTGGCTAATGGACCCGGTTTCTATGCAGCCAAAGCCCGTGCGGGCCACTTAATAAATCTATTTTTGAGATGGATTTTAATACTTAATTTTTAAGGACATGTAATCTCCAACATGGAGATCATGAATATGAAAAACTAAAAATAATAATTTTAGTAAAAAAACTCTTAGTTTCCATTGTTTTAGATGGAACACCTACTCACATCCATCTTTAAGATGCATGCTTTACACTTTCTGGACCGCACATGTAGAAATGAGGTCCAACCCGCATGAAACAATTTTCATTGGCTAATACTCATAGTAATCCAATGCAATTTTTTTGGGCACATTTCCTGTTTCTTTTTTTTTAAAATTGCTATGCGTATTGGATAGAGAGAGAGAGAGAGATTCCTAAAGGTGGTCATGATAATCTTGTCTTTTCGTAATTACCAGAAGATCGCATAATAAGATTGAGAACGCGTTCTGGCCTTTAATTCTAGGTGTATCATGTGAAAGTAGCTTTTATATTCCATTCCTTTCTTATTCCTATTTTACTTATTGAGAACAGTTCACAATATTCCCATTGAACTATCACAAAGTAAAGCTGAATTTCTTTTCATCAAGAAACTAACATTTTCACTATGTGAAAAAGATATCCAATAACATTAAAAACGAAAAACAAACTCAAAACATCGCACTCCCTTGAGACTCAAATGCCTTGGAAATCTTTCTTTTCTTTTTTTCAAAAAATAATGACTTGGAAATTTTCACATACAAAAATTGAAATGGATTGTATACTATCCGACCATTTACCATTGTTACAAAAAAGTCACAATCACTCATAGCTATTAGATGTCAAATTAGATAGCTTGGAGTGTGTCATAAAGCTCAAATTTTTTTTTGGGACTCGCTCTAATTGATGACACTAGTGTTGTCAGATTCGCTGGACTAAGAGGCCGAAGACTTTGGATTTTGGGCCTAGACCGAAGCGAAGCCTGGTTTTGTTGCTTCAGTCACCTTTGAGTCAATTCAGCCGAAATAAAGAAATATCTATGTAAAAATATTCTTTATTTTTATTTTTTGAAATTTCTATTTTTTTTCATTATATATATATATATATATATATATATATATTATTTATATTAAATTTTTAAAAAAAGGCAAAGTCTTCTCTCGAATAGGCCGAAGCACCAAATTGCTTCGTTTTCCTCACCAAATCAAAAAATACTCCGTAGCGAATCTAACAACATCGAAAGACACTTACAAGTGCCTGATTTAAAATCTGACGGACAAAAATGATTGTATCTCCTTGTATACATACAGTCTTTGCATACTTTCCCAAATTGAAAAGGCAGACCTCTAACCGTCAACTTGCTCAAACCCACGTCAAACATGGGCATGTATAAATTTCGACTAAGGATATCTCATTTAGTTCAATCTGTTAAAAGTAAGGCAAAACTCTATATGCTCCTATAGGAGCAATATGTATATTTACTCCCTCAGGTAAAATTGAAACTGGGGTTATATTTAAGAACTCAAATTTTAGAGATGTAACCTCCTCAACTTAAAGGCCTACATTAAATAAAATAAAAAAACCATGTGAAACGCACTCTATACCTGCCTGCTGAGAAAAAATATGTCATTGAGACCACCTAAGTTTTGGATAGACAGACCTTAGTGTTTAGGAACCCAATCCTTCTCTTTTCTCCTGCCAACGCTCATGCGGCCATTATAAAGTGGATTTCAAAATCCTAGATCAATAAAATCATCTCGTGTAAATCTCTTGCCCTTAAGCATTCCAGTAAGAGGCTACTATACATGCCCTATAAGTAAAAGTAAGGATAATGGGTCAGGACCCGACCAGAACCCAGACCCAGACCTGACGCAAAAATCAAAATATCGATATATTTAACTATATTTAATTTTATTTCATAAATTGGGACCTGAAATAACTTCACGGACCCGGACCTGGACCCAAATAATATTCTTGGACCTGGACCCGACCTACCGGGTCCAATTTTTGGATCCATACCCGGACCCTGATCCGGTTTACCCCGCGGGTCCAGGGTCGGTCCAAGTCCATTGCCACCCCTAAGTACAAGCAATAGACCTAGAAAACTTTATTAACTAGTAAGTAATCCACATGACAAAGGAAAGCTGATAAGAATTATTGTTTTGCTATTTGGATTACAGGTTTTACAGGTGTTGGGTGAAAATCATAGTGTTTTGGTCTACGTACTCATCCTTCTTCACCCCATTGGAGTTTGGGTTCTACAGAGGATTGCCTGAACACCTGCAAACACTGGACATGAGTGTGCAGATTGTTTTCTTAGCAGATGTGATTTTGCAATTTTTTGTTGCCTACAAGGATCCCCACACTTATAACATGGTTTCCAGCAGAAAGAGCATTGCATTACGGTGAGTCCTCCTTGTTTTTCTATTACTAAGGAGAATAAATAGGAGCATGAGTTTTACATTCTCTATGCAACTTGTTTTAAAAATTATGAAGTTCCTCCGAATCGGCTGAAGTAGTGAATTGTTTCATTTTTTGAACCAAACTGAAGAAGACTCCGAAATAGAATCCAACAACCCTTGTTTTGAGAAGCACCTTTAAGCTTGGCCCAGCTAGAAGCAAGAATCGGTCTACTGATCATTAATGTTCACTTATAGTATCTACTGGTTATTGTGTTGTATTAAACCATCTAAAATTAGTAAGTGGGTTTCATTCAATCTTTGCAGCTATACCAAAACCAGTTTTGCTTTGGATTTACTCGGCTGTTTTCCTTGGGATACCATATATAAGGTGAGAAAAATTGTATGCCTCAGTACTTGTAAATCACACATATATTAGAAAAATCTTATGCCTTTTCTAGTTGTAAGTTATTTATACATTTGCTGGATTGCCAATTAGCGCCTTGGTCTGTTCAATTTAAAGGAAAAGTTGAGTTTGGTTTTATAAACTAACGATTATACTTATTGGTTTTAACTAGTGGGACCAGTTGAGCAAAGTTGGTTTTTTAACATATTTTATATTTTTAATTCATAATTTTATTTTGTTTTACAAAAATTTGATACAATTGATATGATGGTGGTTGAACCAATCCTGACTGGACCAGATCCTCACCAGTTCAATGACTAGTCCAATCCTAATGATATCGATAATTGCTATTTTCTCTCTAGAACCAGTTTGATGTGTGGTCCCCATACACCCTCTATCTCTCTCACACGCACACTCAGAGACACACTTGCCAATGGTACTTGATCCAGTTTTACAACAAATTACAGATTTATTCCTCTCACAATCTCTCTCTCTCTCTCATTTCAGGTCACAAGAAGAAGTGAGATAGTGAGAGGCCTTATTTGGATCCGCCTATATCGAACGCGAAAGATTATAGAGTTCTTTCAAAATATGGAAAAGGACATCCGGATCAACTATCTATTCACAAGGATAGTTAAACTCATCACTGTCGAACTCTATTGCACACATACAGCAGCATGCATATTCTATTATCTTGCAACTACTTTGCCACCAGCTAGAGAGGGGTATACATGGATTGGAAGCCTACAACTTGGAGATTATAAATACATCAATTTTAGAGAGATTGATTTGTGGACCAGATACATAACATCACTGTACTTTGCAATTGTCACCATGGCTACTGTAGGTGAGTTTGTTAATAATACTAGTTGAGGAGAAAAATACACAAGATTATATAGGGCTGAGAATTTTTTGGATCGGGTTCCGATCCACCCAGATCCGGATCTAGATCCAAAAAGTATATATCGGATCCGGATCTGATTGAATCCAAAATATTTGAATCTGGATCTAGATCAAAAACTATATAGGATACAGATCTGATTGGATCTCGACTATTTGAATCTGGATCCGAATCGAAACCTATATAGGATTCAGATCCGAATCAATTCCAATTTTGTATATTATAAAGTTAAAATCTAATATATAAAAGTAAAAAAAATTGCATATATTATATATAAAAATTAATAACTTTACAAATTATGACATATATGCATGTATATTAATTTAAAAAACTGCGTTGGATCCAAATTAGATTCACCTATACCCAGATCCTGCTTGAATTAGTATCCAGAGCTTGGATCTAGATCTAAATTTTGAGCTTTGGATCCAGACCAGGTAAATTTTCAATCCTAATATTATACAAAACTATTTACCTTCAGTACAAAACGTAATCGTTTTTAGGAGTCAAATGTTCCTAGTATTATACAAGACTATTCACCTTCGATACAAAAGGTAATCATTTTTAATAGTCATATGTGAAACTATACAATTGGGGTGTACCATTGACTGTACTTAAAATATGAGAAAAATTCTCTTCTTACTTTGTGCAAAACAATGACACACCCCAGTTGTATAGTTTCACATTTGAGCTAATGATCTCATTGCATTCTGAACAAGTCCATAATAATCACTACAACAGATGAGTTCGTTACCGTCCAATCAACTCGTTGGATGGTGATAGAGAGAGATTAGGGCCATATAATTCATTATTTGTAAATGTGTAGTGGGGGCTCATTCCCTCCTAATTAAGGAAAAATCGAACTGAATGGTTAACTAAACATGAGCCCAAAAATTGTTCAACCTGCTTAATTGGTAAACCGGTTGTGGTTCAATTGTTTTAACCAGATAAGTCCCAACGGTCAAAAGCGTTAAAAAAATAAAATAAAACATACATAAATAAATCTAATTAAATATGAAACTATAGTTAAAGAAAGACCAGTCGATTTTTCCTTGAATGACTCCCTCCAACATCTCGCGATAACCTTTGAGTCATGAAGTTCTGATGATCATATCAATCATGGGGTAAGCGCTCAATCACTGTATGTCACTATTTATTGGTACATGGTATACCATATGGACATTTAGGTGGGTATATTCGATCCCTACCAGTTGGTACGTAAGAGTCTCGTACCACTGGATCTGATGGCGAAGTTCTATAGGATGGTTATAAGACCAACCATACTTTATAGGACATAATGTTGAGCAGTCAATAGACAACATATCAACAAGATGAGTGTAGCTGAGCTAAATGTTGAGATAGATGAATTGCAAGACATGAATTGATAGAATTCTGAATGAATACATATGAGGGAACTTCTGTGAGGCTTCAATAGGTAATAAGATGAAGGACTTCAATAGGTAATAAGATGAGGGAAATAGACTTAGGTGAGTCTGACCATGCAGCGTAGACCTAATATAGCACCGGTTAGGAGGCGACATTTAGTTTAAATAGAAGGCTCCAAAAGGCTAAAGGGAAGTCCCAAAAGAAACTTAGAAAAAAGTAGTGTGAAAATATATGATGACTTGTGGTCTTATAGAAGGTATAGCCCATGATAAAGAAGAATAGAGGAACATAATTCATGTAACTGACTCCAAATAATTGGGATAAGACTTAGATGATGACAATGATGATGATGACATTTGAGGTACATTTGAATCAATGGTTCACATATGTTTTCATGTTCTATGCACAAATCTATTCAAAACTAGTGATCCAAACCGGTGATAATGATACATATTTGGAACTGCTAGTTCCTAACTGAAGGCATTTTAAAGAAGGCAAAAGGAGGGACATGGGCGTAAATAAAAGATACCAAAGATGTTTTTTTAAAAAAAAGTTTATATAAGGATGTAGAACTACGGATGCACCTCAAAAATCTATCGAAAAAAGTAGTTTTAATGTTGAAAAACCCTTTGATTGATCATCCTCGATATCAAGATGTATGACCATGAAAAATAAAAAGATTTTAAATCTCATAAATAGTGCATTTTACAACATATTATCTACACCGTCCATTCTCAAGATTTTCATATGTGTATAAATCTACTTGATTTTAACCATTTTTTAAATTTAAAATTTTATAATTAGATATAAAAATAGATTTTGAGATAATCCTAAGAACATTTTACATCAAAATTATATACTATGATAAAATTTGAAGGTGCATCTTACCTCTACAGCTACGGATGCATATGTATGCCAACTGCACCCTTTTTTAAATCCACTAATTGTATGCATATTATCACGTATTTTCTTTTTTTTCACAAACAATAATAAAGCAATTTCCTTAAAATTTTGGTGCATTTTTTTTTTCGTTGTTTGTGGGCTCATACATAATTGTCCAGACCAAGTCTAAAAAGGGTAATGACCTTCAACTTTTCCTTAATCAGTCTCAAACCAAGAAAAAAAGGTGGGTTGTGTTAGGTAGGGAGTCAACGTAAAACAATCAGGATTCGTATAGCTGATCCAATTAGTTAAGAAAAGGCTTTAAAAATAATTGTCCAAAACCGTTTCGGAGTTCGGACCTCCCATCTGAACAAACTAAGCCAGTGGCTAATTTGTCAAAATATGAACATAATTTTAAAACACTTGGTAAAATTATATCAAAATATGGCTAAAATATGCCAAAATTTTGGACGGCCCTTGAAACAAATTGTTGACAATTTTTTTCTCAAAATTTGGCAAAATTAGGGAAAAATCCTTTTTCTCATGTGTTGAACAAAGACAATTGGATATTTCGTTAAATATAAAGACTATATTTACCTAAATTTGCCCAAAATTTGGACGACCCTCAAAGGAAAAGTTCTTTTACATTTTTGAGAAATAAGCCTATTGGCTGAAACTTTTTTTCTCATCCTACTCAGCCAAAATTATCGATGGGCATTTCGTTAAAATAAAGTCAAAATTTTGTCTAACATGCCCGAAATTAGCCAAGAATAATTTGGGAGATTTACGTAAATATCCTTTATATTTTCTTAAAAAAATTTCTGATATTTTATATTTTACATTCTTGTCACAATTCTAAGAGAACATCTAGTATTTTAATTTTATCTTTTTCGTGTTTTTTTTTTAACATCTGATTGAGCTTAAATTTTGTGAGTTCATATTTCTCACCATAACGCATTTGTAAAAATTTAAAAAATAATTCAGTAAAATAAAATTACCAAAATATCGCTACAAGACATCCTTAGACCAAATGTAAATGACAATCGCTTATCATAATTAAGTGAAAAATTTCATTCAAAATATTGGTATACTCAACTACTATTAATTTGGTATACTCAACTACTATTAATTTGATGTATAAGGAAACATAAGATGTCTTCTTAATTTTCTATCTGAAATTTTGGGTTAATTCACATAAGATGTTCTGTAATTTCTCAATAAATTATTGCCTTATTCTCTGATTTTTTTTGTCTCTCCACATAAACTGGACCTTTTCTCTTATTTAAACCAAGGCCTAGATCTTTTACTTCAGCAAATATTTAACAAGTTAAAAAAACCAACATGGTTGCATTTTCTTTCAACTATGTAGATGCAAATTTTGTCAGTTGATGCTTATGATTGTCTCTTGTCAGTTGATCTTATGATTGTCTCGGATACATTAATTCCAGGTTATGGCGAAATTCATGCCGTCAACACTCGAGAGATGATATTCATCATGATATATGTATCATTTGACATGATCCTTGGAGCATATTTAATTGGTAACATGACCGCATTAATTGTTAAAGGATCGAATACAGAGAGGTTTAGGGATAAGATGACCGATGTCATCAAATATATGAATAGAAACAAGCTGGGGAAGGATTTAAGATCACAGATAAAAAACCATCTTCAGTTAAAGTATGAGAATAGCTTTAGCAAAGACACTGTTCTCGAAGATATTCCCATAGCGATACGGGCGAAGGTTAGTATTCTTACTTATTCGGTGCACAATGAATGCAGCTTCAAAGATACTGAGTTTGATGGTTTTTACATAGATGGTTTCATGTTTCTTCTTGTGCACTTTTAAGTCCTTTGAAAAGCAAGTGGTTTTTAGAGTCGTCTTGGTGCACCTAAAAGCATAAAATCAGATAATACTTTATGGAATTTGTTAATGATAAGAACTTGAAATGCTTGAGGGAGTTTCAACTTAGTTTTGGCCATTCCTAATGCAATCCAAATAATGTTTCAGGTCAACGAAGCCTTGCGTTTTTTGAGAAAATTTAGAGGTATTGTTGCGAGTACAAAATTTTGATGTGTTCCTTGTCCAATCTTTTTAGGACATTTCAATGTGGACGACAATGTGATTTTATTGGTGATATCTGAAGGAAATCATAACTATTTATCCTTCATTTTTTCATTTTTTAAAAGTAGCTTCCCGTTCTTGAATCTAAAAAAACCAGGGTTAGTAATATAATTCTTCTTTAAGTATAAGTGTGATGACCATCATAAAATATAAGTGTGATGACCATTTTTAGGTTCTAGTACCCATGGTTATGTTTATTTCAGGGAGTCTGGTCCTTCTGTGAAGTTGAGTTCACAGACATAGATCTGCCTCTCTCTTTCTCACACACACACACGCGTCCATGAGCACACAGGGTGCATGTTTTTGTGTGCACATCACATGGACACAACATGAGCTCACCTATCCACATAGGTGCATCCATCCACTTCTTTCTTGATTTTCTCTATGTTCTATGTTGATAACTCAGTATTATTCTCAGCTAAACATTCTTTCTACTGTGGTTACAGATATCTCAAGACTTGTACAGTGAAACAGTCAAACATGTCCCTCTATTCAAGGGCTGTACTGATGAATTCGTGAATCAGATAGTAAGTTCCCGCACACCTACAAATGCTGTGAATCCATTGTTTTCAACTCATTAGATGAAACAATTCCTCATGTATATGCGAATAAATTACCAAGTATTGTGGACTTATTTTGTGGGATTCCGTTAATCAGTGTGATTATGGAACACTCAATAGCGACGTAATTTGTTATCTCAAATGCTAATCTCAAATCCTTGTAGGTAACAAAGCTACATGAAGAATTAATTCTCCCTGGGGAAGTAGTACTTGAGCAAGGGAATGCAGTGGACCAAATTTACATTGTATCATATGGTTCTTTGGTAATCATTTACCCAATTTGGCTATTGAAATTTCAACCACCTTTCATTATTAATGCCTGTACTAGGTTAATTTGCGATGTCATTTATGTAAGGTCAAGTACTGTCATCATGTTAAGAAACTATACACTATCCTAAAGTTCAAACAAAAGGACAATTTTATCAATTTATCAATTTAAGCGCTTTGAATTATAAAGGAAGACCCATATGGAAATTCTTGATTGATAACATACAGCTGTTGAATGCGAGACATATTTCTTTTGGCTCAGAAGAAATTAGAAATAAGGTGGCCATGGGCTGGGTGGCTCAATCTAGGCTAAGTCTAAAGAAAGGGCCTGGCCCAGCCACACCCTTCCAACAGGCCCAGCTAGGGCTCTAATCTGCAGGGCTGGGCCCGGCCATTGCAGCCACTGATCAAAAACACATTGAGTTCACAAATTCTCAAATTTAATTTGCGCTCCATTTGATTTCGGATATTACGTTCTTTTTTTTTCCAAAGCGATTTTGGATTTTGCATAGTGTTGCTCATGTTGCTCTATAACATCATTTTCTTAACCACAGGAAGAGGTAGTCACTGGAGAAGATAGATCAGAAAAAGTGATTGCTAGACTTGGTCCTAACAGTATATTCGGCGAAGTTGCAGTGTTATGCAATATTCCTCAGCCTTATACAGTTCGTGTTTGTGAACTGTGTAGACTTCTCCGGATGGAAAAACAGTCACTGACTAGTATTTTGCAACTTTATTTCAAGGATAACTCCCAAATTCTTAATAATCTCTTAAAGGTATTAAGTATGGATTTCATTTAAACATAGAGTTAAGATCTTTGTCATGACATTTACTGATATTGTTGCGTATGTTTTCAGCACAATAGTCCTTAGTAGTGTGTGTTTGTGCAGGGTAAGGACACTGAATTAAGAATCAAGCAACTTGAATTAGATATAACCTATCTTATTGCAAAGCAAGACGCTGAATTGGCTTTGAGAGTGAACAGTGCTGCTTATCATGGGGATTTGTACCAACTCAAAGGTTTGATCAATGCTGGTGCAGATCCATTGAAGACAGACTATGATGGCAGGACCCCTCTTGTATTTCCTAATCCTTTGACCCATAACATTTTTATGTAGTCTTTCCATGGGCCTTTATGCAGCAATTACTTGCTTGTCTCTTTTTTCTTTCTTTTTTTTCACACTGAGTGACAAGTTCACTTTTTTGTGTTCATATACTCAAGACTTTACTAATTTGTTGTTTTATGAACTGCCTAGACTTTAACTATCTCACATGTAAAAAAAAACTGCATACTGTTTTGTCAATACAATTGGATTCCCAAAAGCTGGTTAATATCTGTTAATTTCAGCAATCATGTTCAAAGTATTCTCCAATTAATTGCTGTTTGCTGCAGCATCTGGCTGCATCAAGAGGATACGAAGATATTGTGATGTTTCTCATACGACAAAGGGCATCTGTCAATTGTACAGGTATATGGGTATATAGAAAATGATCTGTATTCTAACTTGGTTTGAGCATGGCTTTTGAATATCAATTTATTTAAATCGATTCAACGAGAATGATTACTTTTCGTCACCCAGATAAATTTGGAAATTCACCGCTCTTAGAAGCTGTTAAGGCAGGGAATGTTCGAGTCTCAAAAATCCTTGTTGAACATGGCGCATCAATAAATATAGAAGATGCCGGAAGCTATCTCTGTAAAGTTGTGACAGATGGCAATGTTGATCTCTTGAAACGATTATTGGAAAATGGCATTGACCCAAATTCAAATAACTATGATCAGAGGACCCCTCTTCATATTGCTGCTGCAGAAGGTTTGCACTTAGTGGCTGATATCTTGATCAAAACTGGGGCCAATGTCCTCTCCAAAGACAGGTATTTTCTAAGCTTCATCTGTAGGTGATATTTGTTCGTAAGGGTGATGAATGACACGTACTAGTTGTGGATAAAAGGAGTTGTTTTTAATGCAAATATCTACAGGCTCAATTTTTTGTTGCATCAACTAAAAAAATGGTTCATGGCATTTAGTTGCGTGATCTGTATATTGTTCTTGATTTGTTACTTTGTGAGACTTATGTTTTGCAATTAAAAACAATATTACCAAATAATTTGTCTTTCTTCTTTTTTTTTTTTCCTTTCTTTCTCATTGATTGATTTTCGGGGAAATTTCAAACATAAAGCTTATGACTTGTTTTCTCACTGAAAATAATGTTGAGAAACCAAGGTTTAGGCTCCAATGAAATCATTAAAGAAAAAAGAGAGAAATCCAATACTGTCATAGAGGCTCAATTTGATCTTAAATTTAGATGGGAAATCCATACTCTTGTGCAAAAGTTTGCATAGCTACTTGTCCAGTGTTGTTGGTGATGCACAGACCATCCATGTATTGGTCTGTTAAAAAGCTTGGTTAGTTTAATATTTCAATTAGTGGATTATCAACAAAAGAAGAAAAATGTTTAATCTCCTAGACCTATTTCTAAATGAATAAATTGATGAAAACTGGACAAATAGGCTGGCTTAGCCAATTTCTTTTAATATGGTAATCATCATAATGTTACTATATGGTTGTGTTTTGCTGATATGTGTTGTTTGGGACATTTTAGTGGTTATGTTTCACTCCACAATCACTGACCACACTACTGGTTAGGTGATATTAGCTTGAAAATCTTGTCATAAGAAAAGAAAGAATTGGCCTTTTTACAAGGTACATAGTTGATATTACTTCATTAAAGCCTTTTGATGTGTTGATCTTATTATCTAATATTGAAGAATCATAAACCTTAGTGAACTTGACTTAGTCTTAACATCCTTTACTCTTATCAGGTGGGGGAATACACCACTTGATGAAGGTCGAAAATGTGGGAGTAAACCTTTAGTCATGATTTTGGAGAAAGCCAAAGCAGATTGCAAGTGTGATGATACATTTCTTTCTAACAATTGCTGAGGATTTGATCTCATTTACCAGAACTGTATGAGTACCTCGGTGGTACTTGGGCAAACATTGTGTGTAAGCTAGACATGTTCTCATTTTGAAATTCCCAATATAACAATTATTGAAATGTAATTAATATGATAATAAAACTAAATAAATATGCTGCCTGTGCACCCGTGTGTGAAGCTCTCTCTCTCTCTCTCTCTCTCTCAAGAAATATGTACCATCCCAAGTCAATGTTGGGGTAATATGAAGACAAATGGATCTTTACACGCTCATGAAAATTGTGACAGTGAATTACTCATTGCTCAATGGAAGTGTATTTCTTATCATGTCAATGTATGTGTTCCTATTATTTGATTGTTTGTGGTTGTTTCTTTTAAGTCACTTGTATATATTTCTTCTTAAAATCAGATTAAAAGAAGACATGCTTTTCCATAATTTCACTAGTTTTAACAAAAGAATGAGGTTTTTGGTTGTCTGGTGCAGTTCAGTTTTCTTTGTAGCTCTGGAGAAGTCAACATAATAAACAATACCCTCCTTTTTGTTCAAAACTTCAAATAATCATAATTGTAGTTTGCTCCAAAAATACATTATAATGTGACTGATGATGGGCACAGGCTTTCTAGTTCTGGTTTGATATATAATGTTTGAGACTTTCAGAAGCATGGTGATTTCCAATACATGCTTTTATTTTTTACAAAACTGCAATTCCATCAAACCCAATGCTTAAAGACTTAGATTTCATTCAGCAATAGTTAGCTCCAGATGCACAAAGTGGCTTGCTGCGTTTTTGACATAAAGCAGGAGGGAGGGAGGGGGGGTGCAGTCTAGTATCTCCATATCAATTACTCCAAGTACTCTGATAAGTTCTGATCACTATGTTCAGTATTGCTTTAATAAAAACATAACGAGCATCATCTTATGTATAAATGTAAACCCCAGAATTAGCATTAAGAAACCTCTCTTCTTTAGTCCAACATTTTGACTTCATTGTTTTGAGGCTTCGAAGTTATGATGCACATAAACAGGGGTTTGAATTAGTCAGTTCTGGGTCAGGTTGACCCTGACCCAACAGGATCAGGCATGACCTGTCAAGGTTGATCCAAAGAGGTAGATCCAATCCCAGTTGGCTCTCGATTTACTGGACCTATGTTTGAGCTGATGAGCAGCCCTGCACATAAAACTGAAAACTAGTACACTCACCATTGTTTGCAAAATTACCCGATCTAACCTCTAACGGCCCAGTTAGATCGAAACCAACCATTGGCCGGTTTTGATTTTGGAGGTTACGATAATCAACTGGTATTTTTAAAAAAAAAATTTCAAAAAAATATATATAAATTCTCAAAAATAAGGAATTTGATTTGTAATACATTTTTAAATATTCTTTACATTATGGTAAAGATTAAAAATTGTTTTGATTATTAATACTCACTTTTATAATTTCCCATCTTTGTTAGAAAATTTTAAAAATGGCCTTTGGAAATATAAAATGGGTTAAAATCCATTTTTTTCATTAATTTTCAACTTCATTGAATGTGTTTTGTTTTAATCATTCTTTATATGCTTTTTATATTTTAGTAGATTTTTTTTGTATTTTTTTATTTTTTTCAACATTTTTTTGACCGCCCGGGACTTGCCCAGTTAGAACGATTGAATCGGCTAGTTTATCAATTGGACCGGTTAAACCGCCTCCAGGCCCATGTCCGGTTAACCGTTCCAATTCGATTTTGCAAACACTGGCACTCACACAAAGAACCATATGCTACCCAATAGACTAGTCATGCAGTTAAAGATATTCAAATCAGTACTCACAAGAGATTTATAAGGCAATCATTAAGACAAAACCACTGTACTCAACTGAATCATTCCCATAAGTTTTAAAGTCAACACACAAGACCAGCTCATAGAACAAGATCCAATACATGTACATAGAAAGCCATATTATAGACAGAACCAGCAAGCAAGCAGAGAACCCAACCAGAGTTCTCACAAAGAAAAGCATACGCTAATTACACACGAACAGCACTCACACAAAACTAGTGGACCATTTTCAACTAAATCATTCTTGAACCATTATAGGACAACGTGTGTTTTTCCAATCAACAAAAAACTATGGATAGGCCACTGGTCAGTATTTCACAGCAAACAAACATACTGAACCGTAACTATGACACCACTGAATTAGACAACATCTTCTACCCTGCAAGTATACCTAAGAAGATATTCCAACCTAAGCAAAGCACAAACTTGAGATATCCATGTGTGTGTGTGTGTGTGTGTGTGTGTGTGTGTGTGTGTGTGAGAGAGAGAGAGAGAGAGAGAGAGAGAGAGAGAGAGAGAGAGAGAGAGAGAGTATATATATAGTAGTAGTATACTACTACAACAAGTAATAAGTAGTACGTACGTTCGTACGTACGTACGTACGTACTAACGTACGT